GGAGTGAGGGGCCCGGCTAGGCCCGGCTCTGGCTGGGAAGGGGGCCGGGGACCCCGAGGAGGCGGCGTTGGCACGTGACCCTCGCAGGGTGGCGAGAGCCCAGGAGGGCCGGGGGTTTCCTGCGCAGTGGCCCTGGCCCTGCCCGCCATGTGGGCTCCGGTCTCCCCGGTGAGGGTGGGCAGATCCCTGGGTGAGGCAGAGAGACATCCGAGCTTGGTCCGGGACGTGGACCCCTAACCCGCTTCCTCCCCCGCCGAAAGGGCCGGGACGGAGGAAAGAGAAGGGGAAGAAACAGTCCCGAGGCTGTCGACACAGGACTCTTGCCAGGCAGCCCAGGGGCAGGAGAATTTTGTGTCTAGAGCAGTTCTTTAAAACAGCAACGACTACAACAAAAACCCTTTGGATGGACCCGGTACAAAGTTGAAAGGGTAGAGTAAAAAGCCAGTTTCTCACTCCACACTCTCAGGCATTCAGTCTGAGATGTCAGAGACAAGGACTATCACCGAGCATTTATGCTTCTTTGCAAAAATATATATGCGCCTTTCCTTTAAAAACACACAGGAGTGTAGCATAGTCTACGTAGCCCTGTATACTCTGAGTTTTTAGTTACTTGTGTCTTGGAGATCACACTAACGCTGAGATTCTCCACCTCCGGTCACTCTCTGTGGGCCGTCCTGAGCACTGCGGGGTGTTGAGCAGCATCCCTGGCCCCACCCACCCCATGCCAAGAGCACCCACCTAGACAACCACAGATGTCTCTGGTCGCTGCCAAATGCCCCTGGGGGAACCCCCTCCTCCTCCCTCCCAGAAAGTTACTGCACTGGAACATACTCCTAGAGCTTCCTGGATCTTTTTAATGGGTTCCTGGTATTCCAGTCCATGAAGTGTACCATAACTAATTTCACCAGTCATCTATTAATGGATGTTTAGATTGTTTCCAGTAGTTTTCTGCCAGAAACATACTGCAGCGAAGAGCCAGCGAATATCTTTGCTCACAGAAGGAATTGGATTTATAGGATACATTCCCAGAAGTGGAATGCTGAATCCAAGAATATATGTGTTTTACATGTGACAGATAGTATAGGTTTTCCGAAAGTCTGGCGTAAGAAGCCTCGGATTCCTTGAATTCTCTTGGTCCCCGCATGCCAGGTGAAGAGTCATCAGTGTAGAGACTCCATGGAGGAGTGAGCGATAATTTCGGAATTGTTTGGGCCATGCTGGCAAACCAGGCTCTACTCCTAATTGGAAGAGGCCCAGTGGGAGGGAAGAGAAATAGGTCTCCAGTAACATGCCGGTGGTACCTTTTGCCTCTTAAGGGAAAAAAAATGTATGTGTTTTACATGTGACATAGTATAGGTGCCAGTTAGCATCCTAGTGGTTGTCTAGGGCCTAAGATATTTGGGGTCTGTAGACCTCAGATGATGAGAGAGGAACAGAGAGACTCCAGGGGGATTCTGGGATTGTTGCTGACAGTACGGTCCTTTGCCCTGACAGGATAGAATTAAGTGACTTGGCTCTAGGTTAGACCCTGCCCAGCAGGCATCAGACACCTACCTGCCCCCCGACCCCACCTGCTTGACTGGAGCACCTAGGAAAGCTGCTCACCGCCCGGGGCCCGGATGTATGGAATAGAAGCCAGGTGGTTGTGCTCCTGCAGGACCGCTGTCTCCATAGGTCATGGAAGAATTCCCGGGCCACTTTGTTCCCTCATGTAGACAGGTCTCTGGAAGGCCTTCCCATCTCACCCGCAGTGGTCAGGGTCTATGCTGGTGGCCCATCCCGTCCCAGTCCTACGCACTGTGCTACAGGAACTAGCTGGGCCCCTTCTGCCAGCCACCAGAGCTTTTTCTCTCACAGGGACACAGAGTGGCCTGCATTCAGATCTGTGAGAAGCACTTTGAAGCTTGGAGAGCACAGCGCACTGTGAGCTGGTGGTTCGGATCAGTGTGCTCTCTAAGGCCCGGCCCTGGAGAATGGCTGTGATGGCCACCTCCTAATCTGAGTGGTCCTCTTGGCCTCCTCGCTCCATTCCATGTTGACTTGTGCTCTCAGGAATCACCCCGGCTGTGTTCCATTCTCTTCTGCAATAGTTTCTAAGACCTTCAGCATCTCCATTATTTATTTGGCCGTGTCGCTTTCTCTGTGTTTCTTTTTCTCGATCTTAGGAACACTTCTATCATCTTTTATGCCCTCAGAATTGGGTCATTCGTCGAAGAGTAACATCTCTTGTTAATGTAGTAATAACGAATATTTATTGAATTCTCAGTGTGAGCAAGCAGCGTGCTTTAAACCAGTTGGTCTCAACTGGCCTCACTTATGTGGCCTCAAGGTAAATA